TATAAGTAGTACTACACAAACACACACACACACACACACACACACACACACACACACAGACACACACACACACACACATATATATATATATATATATATGATATGAGTGTACACACACACATATTTGTAGATATACGCTTATATACACACATATACACATATGCGCTTGTACACACACAGGCCGAGGAAGTGGCGCCGCCCCCCAGGCCGCTGGTGAGCGTCATCGGATCAATCAACATTGAAGGAGACCTTCCCTTGTGTCTGATCTACTGTGGCAAGGAACACAACAACACCTATTTGGTCACGAATTTGGGACATTTGCGAATCAGGACAAAACGGTCCAATAAAGGAGGACAGTTGCTGTACTCGCGAGATAAGCGCAGCACCGTAACGTCCATGAACAGGGTCAAGCTGGGTATGCGGGTCCATAGACAAATGTGTGGAGATGCAGATATATAACTTTTGTATATATATAGCCGTATATGTGTATCTATATAACTGTATGTACTTGTCATATTATTGCCGTATATGTATATATACAACTATATACTTATCACATATATTGCCGTATATGTATATATATAACTATATACTTGTCATATATATTGCCGTATATGTGTATATATATCTATATACTTGTCATATATATTGCCGTATATGTGTAGATAACTATGTACTTATCTATATATATTGCCGTATATGTGTATATACATAACTATATACTTGTCATATATATTGCCTTTTATGTGCATATATTACTGTGCATACCTACCATATATAAACATTATATGTCTATACATATTTGATTATACTCATCATAAATATAACTTTATGTCTATAAATATTTGATATTGCCTATCATATATAGTAGCCTTAGATGTGTATATATAACTATATATCCTCATCATATATATAGCCGTATATGCGTATAGATAGCAAATTATACCTGTCATATATATAACATTGTATGTGTGTATATAGCTATGTATACATAGCATATATATTGTTGTATATGTGTATATAAAATTATATATCGCTATCATATATATATAGCCGTATATGCGTATAAATAACTAGTTATACCTGTTATATATATATCATTGTATGTATGTATATAACTATATATACCTAGCATATATATTGCCATATATGGGTGTATACAGCTTAATACCGATTGTTTTTTTTTTGCTGAGAGTATATGTTCTCTAGTTGCGTGGACATTGTAGTGCGATATAGCACATCACAACACACACTTGGCAAGAACCACCGGAGAAAGACTCAACTGAGGCGAGTATTGCGTACGATGCACTATGAACTATGCTAGTGATATCCTGTTCATACACATGCCTATTATATGACAATCAAGTAGAGCAGATATGTTCTATAAATAGAATTCTATAAATAGCATATTATAAAAAATTTCTATAAATAACATGCCTATTAGATGGCAAGTCACGTAAAGCAGATATTCTCTATAAATAACATTCTTTTAATAACATTATATGAATAACATTCTATAAATAACATTCTATGAAAAATATTTCATAAACAACATGTCTATTATATGGCAGTCACGTAGCGAAGATATTCTCTATGAACAACATTCTATAAATGACATTCTATAAATAGCATGCATATTACATGAGAATTAAGTAGAGTAGATACATTCTATTCTTACGTACGCTCAACCTCGCTAGAGTACTTGATGAACACCATCACTACAATGCACCCGAACATGCAGTGCATACCATTACATTTACCTACACTACATAACGCAGAGAAGTAAGTATATTCTATTCATACACACGATTACATTTACCTACAACACACAGCGCAGAGTAGTAGGTTTATACTATTCATACACACGATTACATTTACCTACAACACACAACGCAGAGTAGTAGGTATATTCTATTCATACACACGATTACATTTACCTACAACACACAACGCAGAGTAGTAGGTATATTCTACTCATACACACGATTAGATTTACCTACAACACACAGACGCAGAGTAGTAGGTGTATTCTATTCATACACACGATTACATTTACCTACAACACACAACGCAGAGTAGAAGGTGTATTCTATTTATACACAAGCCCCTTTGTTTGTGTATACACATCAACTGCAGACGTATCATCGGTCTCTGCGCGGTTTGCTCGGGTACTCAACCTCAAAGAAGCTGACGAACGCCAGATAAGCTATCACCATAACGCACGCTTAGTCTTTGTGGAACAACGGACACTCATAGACACGTGTGAGTACCATGCCTTCGCCCGGGTGGAGGTGAACGAACCCGTGCTAGCCAATGAAATGACAGGGAATGGCGGCAAGGCCGGCGCCGCAACCAGTCAGAATGCAGAGAATGTTCGGGATAGCAACAATGGGGCTGGTAGCTATGGCAACCAAAGAAGTAGCGCGAAGCGCAGGGCTTCGTCGCCGGAAAGAGACGAACAAGAAGTGACAGAAGGACCAACCACAATCACACGCATCAGCTGTGTGGTGGATCGCATCAATGCAGACATAGCCGACCGAGATGTCAAGGTGATAATCTTCCGACTGTATTATA